AGGCCCTAAGCAACTTAGTGAGACCCTATCTCAAAATAAAAAATAAAAAGGGCTGGGGATGTGGCTCCATGGTTAAGTGCCCCTAGGTTCAATCCCCATAACAAAATAACAATTTTTAAAAACCTGATCCAAGACTTCTAAATTCAAGTCCAGTGTTTTCACATATTCCCAAAGTATGAAGAGAAAGGTCATATTTATGAATGAGCACAGCCTTGGCAGGTTTGGTAACTGCACTGAGAATACAAATTGCTGCTTGGGAGGCTGAGGCAAGAAGATGGCTTGATGGAGGTTAGCCTGGGCAATTTGTCAAAAGTCTCTGTCTGGGTTGGGCAGATAGCTCTGTGGCAGAGCCTTGCCTAGCATGAGGGGGGCCTGGATTCAATCCCCAGTAGGCAGGCAGGAAGGAAGAAAAGAAGGAAGGAAATAGTTCTCAGGAATCCTTTGCTCTAGAATGTCCAATCTAAATCATCAAGAGACAGGTTGGACTCAGCCATGAGCCTCCACTTTGCAGCATTAATTTAAAAAGGATGTTTTAGAAAACTGAGGCTGACACAGCACGATATATCTGTTGGATAATGAACACTATCATTGTGAGTTTTTCCCCAGGTACTAGAAGTGAGTACATCATGTATAAGGCAGGCTCTGAAGGGTGATCTGCATGTGTTCTGTAAACAGGAGGGCTGGAGAGCTGAGGGATACTCAGTTACAGCTCCAGCCGGTTCCTTCCCATCATGTAGGTGCATGTGGCTCTTAATCTGTAGGTAGAGGAGCCACTGCCCTGCTCATGCAAGGGGGCGCCAGGGTTGACCTACAAAGCTAGAAATCCTGATTGCATTTGTTAAATGAAGACATTACTTTGAAAAATTTCTAACCACTATTCAGGTCAATGAAACTCTTTTTTTTATAAATATATCTATATATACATATATAGATATATTTTATTTTTAAGTTGTTGATGAACCTTTATTTATTTATTTACTTATATGTGGTACTGAGGATCAAACCCAGTGTCTCACACATGACAGGCAAGTGCTCTACCCCTGAGCTATAGCCCCAGCCCCCAATGAAACACCTTTGTAGGCTGAATTCAGCCCATAAGGCTCCAGTTTGCAGCACTCTTTTTAAAAGAATTTTTTAGGAAATTGAGGCAGCATAAAAGTGAACTACCAACAAGGTAGTTCCTTAATCTCTGCATGAGTACATACAATTCCTGTCTGCCGTCGCATCTTCCTCGGTCAACAGTACAGCTGATCTTTTTTTGCAGCACAGCCAGACCTGCATTAGGCATGTTTTGGTGCAAACAGAAGAAAGTAATTCTGCTAAATCTTCCTAACTCAGGTCAGGAGGAAGCTTCTCAGGCCTGTCTCCTCTGATCCTAACATTCACTGTGCACTGTAATAACCAACATTAGTGGGCACATACTCTATGTCAATCCATTTTAGAATATTTTGCCTGTAAAAAACCATCTACTCACAGCATACCTATGAGGTAGGTCCTACTCATAAGATGCATAAGATGAGGTGACCTGCGGCGATCACACTAGAAGGAAGCTCTTAAAGTCTATCATCATCTTAAACATTTTTTATTTTTTAAATATATTTTGTTGTTGATGGACCTTTATTTTATTCATTTATTTATATGCAGTGCAGAGAATCGAACCCAGTGCCTCACACATGCTAGGCAACTATTCTACCACTGAGCCACAACCTCAGTCCCTCATTTTTTATTTTTTTGTACTGGGGATTGAACCCAGGAGTGATTTACCACTGAGCTACATCTTCCATTTTATTTTTGTATTTTAAGACAGAGTCTTGCTAAGTTGCTGAGGCTGGCTTCAAGCTTTCAATCTTCCTGCCTATAATCCCAGTGTCTTGGGAGGCTGAGGCAGGAGCCACCACACTAGGCTTATCTTAATCATTTAGTGCACTTTGGCACTGAATGTTGGGTGGGTGGATGAGTGATGCCTCATAAGGCATCATGTATATGGCAGGCTCTGAAGGGTGATCTCGACCACACAGGTGTTTGTTCAACTGCCATTCTATGCCTCAGATGTGCTGGCTCTAGACATGAACAGATCAAGGTTAGAGGGCTCGAGTCTTGGTGCCGGTGCCAGACATGTAAAAATAACAGCACAGTCACTTGATTTTGCTTGGAAAAGTCAGGGAAAGCTTCCTGGCAGAGTGGATGTCCTAGCTGAGCCTTAAGGCCTCAGTGAGAGTACATATTCTCCCAGCAGGTGGGGGAGGAAGGACAGCCCAGGCAGAGAGGCGGCACATGCAGAGGTACCAAGTGACTGAGCCTTTATCCAAAGATCTGCTGCCAGCCCTAAACAGCTGGTTTGCAGGAACATAACACGCAGGGCACATTGCAAGTGGCTACAGGGGGAGACAGCTTCTTGGTACCCAGGACTTACTTTGGCTGGGGAATCAAAAGGGAGTTTTATTTATTAATTATTATTATTATTTGTACTGGGGATTGAATCCAGGAGTGTTTGACCACTGAGTCACATCTCCAGCCCTTTTTTGTATTTTATTTAGAGAGAGACAAGGTGTCATAAGTTGCTTAGGTCCTTGCTAAGATGCTGTGGCTGGCTTTGAACTCCTAATTCTCCTGCTTCAGCCTCCTAAAATGCTTATTTATTTATTTATCTATTGGCACTGGACATTGAACCCAAAGGCACTGAGCTACATTCTCAGATCTTTTTCTTTTTATTTATTTACTTTGGTGTTGGGGATTAGAATCCAGGGCCTCGTGCAGGCTAGGCAATGACTCTACCATTAAGCCACATACACAGCCTTCCCAGACCCTTTTATTTTTTATTTTGAGAGAGGGCCTAAATTGCTGAGGCTGGCCTCAAATCTGCAATCCTCCTGCCTCGGCCTCCCAAGTTGCTGGGATTACAGGCATGCTCCACCATACCCAATAAAAGAAGTTTTATTTGGGGGGCAGTTTTACTGAGGTACAATTTACAGACCATAATATTCATTTCTTCTATGTGAACAATAAGTTTTAGTTAATTAATTTATTTTTTTAAGAGAGAGTGATAGAGGGAGAGAGAGAGAGAATTTTTAATATTTATTTTTTAGTTCTCGGCGGACACAACATCTTTGTTGGTATGTGGTGCTGAGGATCGAACCTGGGCCGCACGCATGCCAGGCGAGCGCGCTACCGCTGGAGCCACATCCCCAGCCCCTAGTTTTAGTTGCACAACCATCATCACAATCCAGTTTTAAAGATTTCAATCACCTCAAAAAGATCCCCTCTGCCCAGGTAAGCACTTTACCCCTGAGCCACACCCCAGCCCTAGAGTTCTGTTTTTAAAAAGTCACTCAGAGTTGGGAAGGTTGAGTGGAGATGGCAAGATCAAAGGGGGCCTCCATCACTCTTTCCCTCCCTGCTCAGGGATTGAACCCAGGGGCACTCTGTCACATCCCCAGCCCTGTTTTGTATTTTATTCAGAGACAGGGTCACACTGAGTTGCTTAGTGCCTTGCCATTGCTGACGCTGGCTTTGAACTCATGATCTTCCTGTCTCAGCCTCTGGAGCTGCTGGGATCACAGGTGTGCACCACTGTGCCCACAGCTGAGGGCCTTTTGATAAATATACCCTCAATCACCTTTGTCACTGTGGAACGCCCACCAGGCCAGGTTATTTTGCTTGGAAAGGAAAAGCTTCCTGGCAGAGTGGATGTCCTAGCTTTTTCAGAAGAACACCTAATCGGCTGCCCCATGTGTGAGATTCCATTAAGCAAGGCTTCACACAGTCAACACAGGAAACCTGTGGCATCTTTAGATTTGTCATCAGTGGGAGAACAGGGCCTTGCACTGCTTAGGGCCCACATCTGAGTTCTGCTTCCCTCTTCTGAGATCTCAGGACTGTATTAAGGGAGCGGCTGCTCAGCACCTCCCACAGCACCACATCTGATTCCGGAGGGAGGCTGTTAGTGTTGCTGTGGATTTACAAACACTTATCTCCCCCTGTTCTGAACAAGGAAGTGAGCTATTTCTTTTTTTAAATGCTTGTTAACTTATTTCAAAGTGATCAGCTGCAGTGAGCAAAAGGTAGGGTGGGTTATCATGAGGATAAAAAAAAATTCAGGGCTGGGGGCATAGCTTAGTGATAGAGGGCTTGCCTAGCATGTGCAAGGTCCCCAGTGCAATCCCCAGCACCGCACAAAATAAATCAATAAAAATAAATTCAGAGCTAGATGCAGCAGTGCACACCTGTGATCCCTGCTACACAGAAGGCTGAGGTTGTAGCTCATTGGTAGAGTGCTCACCAAGCACATGTGAGGTACTGGGTTCAATTCTCAGCACCACATAAAAATAAATAAACTAGTAAAGATATTGGGCCCACCTACAACTAAAAAAATAATAATAATAAAAATAAAATAAGGCTGAGGGAGGAGGATCCCTTGAGCCTAGGAGTTTGAAGCCAGCCAGATCCTATCTTAAAAAAAAAAAAAAAAAACAGATTAAGGCACCAGGCACAAGACGTTCGTTAAGTATTTGTTGACTCTGAACTGTATCAACAAGGTGAAGACTGTTTTCTTGGCACCTCCAGAGCCGGTCTACTTAACTCTCCTAAGTTTCAGTCTCCTCATTTCTAAAAAAGATAAGAACTTCTCCCACCTTTTAATTTTGCTTTGAGGATAAATGAGGCCAGGTAAGTCCACCACCTGGCACACATCAGCCATCAGGGTAAATGTGTGCCAGGTAAGTCCACCACCTGGCACACATCAGCCATCTCTTTTACAGTCCTGAGGATTGGGAAGAAAGAAAAAAAAAAGGCATCTCCCAGTATACTGTCAGTATTCATGGTGGTGCAGACTTCTCTGTGTGTAAAAAAAAAAAACACCCTCCTCCAAAATGTACATTGGATAAGCATCTGCCAATCAGCTTTCTACATCCAGAAATGTCATCACCAAATTAACTGTCATTATTCCATAAACAAACAATTCTGTTTTTTTTTTTAACTCATACTTCAAAATCCCTACTTACTTTTCTCATGTTCCTTCCAATAATTTGCTAGGAGGCAGACCTGTCAATAGGAAGGACAAAAAGTATTATTTATCACCAATAAATACTAGGTTAATTAGAAATCCCAAAACACTCAGTTGGAATTTTCAGAACTGAATTAACCCTATCCAAATTTCTTCCCAGTTTTGATTCTGCCTAAAGCACTCCTCACACTTGGTCCAGCCCCAAACAGGAAGAAACATTTTAAAAATATTTAAAACTGCAGTGCCATTGGGGATGTATGTTGCTGGGATACAGTTGTTGATAGCTGGAGATGGGCAGATGCAGCAAAGTATCCTGACTTCAACTAGGAATCAGGAGATCAAGAGGATGAAATCACAGATGCGGAAGCCTGGGAGCTTCATGTCCTCCAAGGCAATCTAGTATCCTGAGAATCGTCTGACTTATTCATAAATCCAGGTCTCTGATCTAATAAACCTCTCTAGGGCACAGTTTCTTCATTTGTAAAAACTAGGCAAATAAAAACGCTCACTTGGTGAGTTAACCGTGAGGAAATACTTATGCCATCGCGACTGAAAGGGCTTTTCAAATGCAAAGCACTACTTACAAACGATTTATTAGATGTCATCGATCCAGCCTATTTTACGGAGGAGGAAAGTGTGGCCTCTCAAGATCAAAAGCCTTCCAAGTTCTCAACAGCTAATTAGAGCCAAGGGCGCCCAGTTATTTCGCCCAGGAGACTGTCCGATTCTCAAAGCCCGGTTCAAGTACACTTTTCCCTCAGCCTAGCGCAGTGAACCGAGGGCCAAACCTGCCGGGCTCGCATCCCAGCTCGTCCTCCTAGGACAGGCGCTGGTGCCCTGGGTGCCTCGCTGCCGCTTCGGGAAGGAAGGTAACCGCACCTGGCCAGCCTAGGCGCTTAATGATGGCAGTTACCCTGCCACCAGTCGCCCCGACTCCCTCCCCGTTTCTGCCCGCACTGTGGTTGCAACCCGACCGCGTACGGTGAGGCTCGCTGGGTGCCCATTGCTCTGGCCGAGCGCAGCCCCCTCCCCTCGGCGGGACCGACATAAAGCAGTGTCCGCTGTCCCCCGTCCCGACCGGGACCAGCCCAGGGCGGCGACCCTCTCCGTCCGCGCCCAGCCAGGGGTCCCCGGGGTCTCGGCGCACCCGCGCCCCTCCTCCGCGGCTGTCACTGACCCCGCAGGCTGGACCCTGGCCGTCCAGCAGTCCCGGCGCACCCGCCCGCGC